GTATTGGCCGTTACCCTTCTGAGGACCATATCGCCTATTCGGAATTCTCGAGCCTTGACCCTTTTGTTGTACAGTTGGGAGATCTTCTCTTGATACTTAGTTATCCTCAAGGCGGCCTCCTCCCTTCTTTCTTCCACCAGATCCAGATCCAATCCCAGTTGGCGGTCATTCCCCCCTTCGTCGAAAGCTTGGGTCCTTATGGTCGGGAGCTCTACTTCGAGGGGTATGATTGCCTCCATCCCGTATGCCAGGGAGTATGGGATTTCCCCTGTCGAGGATCGAGGGGTGGTCCTGTACACCCATAAGATGTTTAATAGTTCTTCCGCCCATTTTCCCTTGGCTTTCTCCAACCTCATCTTGATTTCATTGACAATTGTCTTGTTGGAGGCCTCTGCCTGGCCATTGGCTTGAGGATAGGCAGGGGCGGAGTAGAAATTACGGATCCCGAGTTGCTCGCAGAAAGACTTGAAGTNCACACAGTGTTGTCACAAACCATGGCGACACTTTTTCAATTACCCGATAACCATCTCTTCACTCATACATGTATCTTAACAAAATGATAACAAAAAATTGGACCCCGTCACAGACATTTTCACAACTGTGTCCAACAAGTCGAAGCATAGCTAGGTTGATCACTTGGGATATATAATTTCACACTTTCATTAACAAATTCGAAATGGGTATACCTACTTATACAGAACTAGAATAGGGTGTGGCAATCTAAATCTTTCTAGATTGCCACAATGTCATATATCAAGTAATATTCATTACAATGATAATAGTAAGTTATCATTAAGACGGTATATCATGAATCGATAACAAGAAACCCTATATATATCAGAGAGAGAGAGAGAGAGAGAGAGAGAGACTATACATATGTAACATGTTATTGTTCAGATCGATACTATGTGTTTGTGCGTGCAAGATCCTGCACAATATAAAAAACGAAAACAGATCTCTCCCTTGGTGAACTTCGAATGTGTCAGTTGAGTAACCAACCACGCCGTTTGGAACAGCCTGCGAGGTCCGGTGGTAACCTGGAACGGCAACGGGAGACCCTGGATGGGAGGAAGAACGATCCAGTAAGGCTGAAAGAGGATCCTGGAACAAAGAATAACAAGTTAGAAGGGCGCCGGAGTGTTTTTCGGCGTATCCCCTCCGACGATCTAGTCAGTCTTTTTAGAAAGANCAAGATCCTGCACAATATAAAAAACGAAAACAGATCTCTCCCTTGGTGAACTTCGAATGTGTNGAAGGGCGCCGGAGTGTTTTTCGGCGTATCCCCTCCGACGATCTAGTCAGTCTTTTTAGAAAGAGAGAGGAAAGAGAAAACACTGAGTGAAATGTATTGTCGTAGAGAGTTTGTTGTTGCATACCCGTCTTGCCTTTTGCAAGGAGTATTTATACCTNGAGGATCCTGGAACAAAGAAGAACAAGTTAGAAGGGCGCCGGAGTGTTTTCCGGCGTATTCCCTCCGACGATCTAGTCAGTCTTTTTAGAAAGAGAGAAGAAAGAGAAAACACTGAGTGAAATGTATTGTCGTAGAGAGTTTGTTATTGCATACCCGTCTTGCCTTTTGCAAGGAGTATTTATACCTTAAAAGCTCATGATTGCTGTCAGTGTAGTCAGTAGGTGATCATTAGGCACAGGCTGCGTGTGCATTGATTCTGATGAGGAATGTCTTCTCTAATTAACTGCTCGGGGTCCCGAGCAATCAATGCTGGATCATCGGGATGTCGACGGTACAATGTTCTCCTCTCGGGGAGGATGCAATAAATGCTCTGTAACAGGAGCATTTATTGCCTTTCATTTCCGAGCCTTACCGCATTGAATGCGGTCTCATCAACAGAAGGGTGCAACTAATTTGTTTGTTTTCCCAAGCCGCGTGTCAGCAACGGCGTGTAGTTTGTCTGTCTTTGATGTGACATCATTTGCCACGCGTCCATCCCCTATTGGCTGTGACCTCTGTATTCCAGTATGTTCTGATATTACTTGTGTAAGACGAGGTCATGATGAATAGTCTAGACTAGCCTAGGTTGATGACCTGTACGTCAATAGCTTATCCTGGAGTAGAGGAAGCGTCTAGGATGGGGGTACCTCTCGGCACCGAGGAAAGGCTCATCTCNTGTGATATCATATGCCACGCGTCCATCCCCTATTGGCTATGACCTCTGTATTCCAGTATGTTCTGACATTACTTGTGTAAGACGAGGTCATGATGAATAATAGTCTAGACTAACCTAGGTTGNTCGGCACCGAGGAAAGGCTCATCTCGGGGACCGAGGGAGGTATGCCGACCGAGGTACGTATCAGACCGAGACCACGTGTCGGTTGTAAAATATACTGAATGTATGATCCTATATGACGGTACCTCGGGGGCGAGGACATTCGTGCGCCGATGGTGCTT